TACATAATGAGACACTGTCTCAAAAACAGAAAAGAAAGAAAGAAATTAAATAACAATAACAAATTCCAGTGAGGCTATGGTGAAAAAGGAATCTTCTACATTGTTGATGGGAATGTTTCATAGTACCACCACGATGAACATCAGTAGGGAGATTCCTCAAAAAACTAAAACTATAAATTCCATTTAACCCAGCTATTCCCCTTCTAGGCATCTTCCCAAAAGAGTTAAAGTCATCATATTACAATGACACATGCTACCCATGTTTACAACAGCACAACTCATAATAGCTACATCTTGGAAGCAGCCTACATATCCGTCAACAGATGAATGGAAAAGGAAATATGGTATTGGGCTGGGGATATAGCTCAGTGGTGCAAGCGCCTGCCTGGCAAGTGCAAGGTTTTGAGTTCGATTCCCCATACCAAAGGGGGAAAAAAAAAGAAAATATGGTATTTATACACAATGAAATAAGGAAGGATAACTGAATAAGGAAGATAATCTGCTGTAAGGAAGGATAAACTGAATCATTTGTAGGAAATGGATACACCTTGAAACCACAACATTAAGTAAAATAAGTCAGATACACAAGCTTAAATACTACATAGTTTATCTTAAGAGTAATCCAAAGTATAAATAAAAAGCAAAATACAAGACAGATAAAAGGAAACAGAGAGGTAGATCTGCCAATAGGGAGGGGACTAAGAGATGGAGGGAGTGGGGAAGAAAGGAGGAGAGCGGACAAAAAACATTTAAGATGTGTCACATACACATACCAAATACACACAATAAAAGCAGTCATTATCTACTGCAAACATGTACTAATAAATTAAACAAAAGAATCAGACCAGTAACTAGAAAAAAACCAACAAAGCAAAACAGATTCAGGCAGATTCCCACCTCAGGCATGAGGGACAGGAGGGAACAGCTGGGGGTGGTGTTATAAAACGCCCAGTTCACTGTCCGCATATTCTAGGCAACTCAGTGGATAGATGCAGAAGTTGTCAATGGCTTTAAATTTTCCTCAGACACCATAAATTAATGGTACACGAGCATCGCCCCTGTACCTACAATTGCCACTAGCACTATCACTTATTTCTAGATCAAGGATTCATGTGGAAGCTGAACTTAGCTTGTAGATACACACTGACTGTTCAGATAAGCTCCCGGTGATTTGCATCGTTTCTTCCTGGGGAATTTCTTTCTTCTGTTGTCACTGTCCTTTCCTACTACAAAATTGGGCACATCCAGGCCTGAGCATCTGGTATAGTATTAAACTATAACTTAGGGGCCAGGGACATAGCTCAGCAGCACAGCACCTGCCAGGCAAGCGCAAAGTCCTGAGTTCCATTCCCAGTACCAATACATAAATAAACAAATAAATGAACTATAACTTATGATTCTTTAAAAATAAGAGGCCAAGAAAAACTCTCAAACTAAAATGCTTTGCTGTTATTCATCTTTTCAATGTTTTGGGTTTTATTTTTAGATTTTACTGTTTAAAGATTTCTTACAATATTTTTAAGCATGGCGGGGTCTCCCAAGACCTCAACATCTGGTCATAAGTTACTTCAGAACTGGAGCATAGTTTTCTTTCTTTTGAAAAATAATTAATCTGTGATGGTTTTAATGGATATCAAATGAACAAAAACAGATTTAATCTTGACATGGTTTTAGCAGTAAGACTGGACTTTATCAGGCCCCACGATCAGGGATCATCTGGAAAAGTTTAGTAATTAGGTTCCAAGGAAAACTCCAGAGGAGGGACCCTTGCCCTGCCAGCTGATGACCAGCATACACTCTTCGGGCTGCCCTCTCCTCCTCAAAGGGTCTCCTTTGTTTGAAGAGAGCTCCTGGCTGCTGGTCCTGCCTCTCGAGCCCTCACAAGTGCCACAACCAGAAAATGTCGCTGTGCTTTTCTGGATACCATGGGTCCTCTGGTCTCACTGCGTAAGAGACCGGACAGGACCCAAATCTTGTCCAATCTCCCAAATGCCAGAAAGCCCAGCTTCCTCTGACACAGATTAAGTTCCAGTTTGCCCAGCCCTTAGGGTTTCTTGGGTTGAATGTGTCTCCAAAGTTGATGTGCTAGAAACTTAATCCCCAGAGCCAGCGCTTTAAGAGCCAATTAGGTTGTGAGGGCTTTGTCCCTGAGAGGACAGATGGCTGTGATCATGGGAGAGGGTTTGTTACTTCAGTAGTGAGCTTGTTACAAAAGTGAGTTCAGTCCCCGTTGCACTCTTCAGCCCTCTTGCCTTCCTCCTTCTACCAGGGTTGGCCCCACAAGAACGCCCTTGCCAGACGCCAGCCCCGACCTTGGACTTCTTAGGCCCCAGAACTGTGAGAAATAAATCTCTGTTTTTCATAAACTGTAGCTTGCGGTATTCTCCACTAGCAATGCAAAACAGACTAAGGCAGGAGTCCCTGCGCTGTTCCACCACAGACACTGCCTCTGGTCAGATGTCAGGACACTCTGGTCCAGGGGCTCCCCATGGACACAGAGCCTGGAACCTGGCCAGGGAAGAGGCCATGGCTGTCCCATCCCACAGCACTACTCGTGAGGGGCCCCCAGACACAGGTCCCATCAGGGGTGTGCCCTGCAAAGATCTGGACTGAAGGCCGACAACACCTCCGAAGGAAGAGGGCACAGGGGTCATCTTTCCTTCTCTAGCCACAGCAGGGCCACATACACTTTGCAGAGACGGAAGGGAGAGAAGCTACTGCTGCAGCTGTTAATGGAGTTTAAAGGGATACCCTCTTCCGCAGGTTGGAGCAGGATAACCACATTTAAGGGCCTTACTCTTGGGTGATTTTCATCCTAGTGAGAAAGGATTACAGCAATGCCCAGCAGCAATGCTTAAGGTACAGTGAAGAATACCAGAGAATGTGGGAAGAGAGATTAGGTAAGGGTGATTTTACAGAGGAGGGTCCAGAACAGCCTCTCCAAGGAGGTGCTACGTGAGCAGAGCGCAGTGCAAAGTGAAGTGGTGGCTCTTGAGCACATCTGGAGGGAGATGTCTATTTAAGGAAGAGAAACTGGCAGTTCCTCCAGCCACATCAGGTTCACACCTGCCTCAGGGCCTTTGCAACTGCCAGTTCTAGAATGAAAATCACCCAAGAGCAAGGAGCTTGGTTCCCTGTCACTCAAAGATGTGCTGAATGAATGAAGATCAGGTCTGATAGAATGCTGTGTCATGTAACAGTGTTGATGGGTTTACATTCTCTTCTGGGAAAAGGACAGAATTTCTATGAGAAGTATGTATAAGAGATGGTTACAATTTGGTCAGGGTCCTAATGCTCATCTTTTGGTTTTTTTTTTTGTTTTGTTTTTCTCCGGTACCGGGAACTGAACTCACGACCTTACACTTGCCAGGCAGGCGCTTTTGCCGCTGCTAATGCTCATCTTTTAAAGAACTATGATCAAACTCTACACTTAGTTACAAGTTATATTTATTTATTCATTTATTTTTTGGTTTTTCTCTGGTACCGGGAACCAAACTCACGACCTTGCGCTTGCCAGGCAGGCACTTTTTGCCGCTGAGCTAAATACCCAGCCCCCACAAGTTATATTTAAAAAACAACATAAAGCTCTTGTGCTTTGCAGTGGGGGTGTGGCTCTGTGGCAGAGCACTTACCTAGCATGTGTGAGGCCTTTGATTCAATACTCAGCATCACACACATACAAGTGAAAGTTGAAATTAAAAAATAAGATGGAGGGAGGGGACAGGAAAGGGACGGGAAGGGGATTAAAAAAAGAATTATGATGTGTTATGTACATGGACCAACACCCAATGATAAATGTAACCATTATGTACTGCAAGTATGTACTAATAAAAAATAAAAATAGAAAACTAGAAAAGTAAATACAAGTGTTTTCGTTAGAATGGGACTAACAACAAGGCACATGTAAATATAGTTGATGTGACATGATATGGTATCACTGCTCACTGTTTAAAGTTATTATTGAAGCAGAATAAATCTCTTTAATAAGGTCATAGATTTTAGGCAGAAGATTTTTCAGAGGTGTCTTTGAATATATATGTGGAGAAATTGAAGATTATCTGTCCCTTTGAGATATCTATCAAGAAATGCCTGCATCTCACCAAGGATCCTGCATGCCCAGAGGAGCCAATGGGCCCAGACTGGACGGGATGCCCAGGGAAGGGCTCCAGCGCCAATCTGATACTGCTCTGCCACGTGACTCCAGGGCTTTGTTCATGTGGCCCCTCTCCTCCTAACACAGGGAAAGGAACACTGGGAGATTCCTACAGTTGTATGTTAGCTAGGCTGGTGGCACAGACCTGTAATCCCAGCACTAGGGAGACTGAGGCAGAAAGACTGCTGCAAGTTCAAGGTCAGACTGGGCAACACATTGAGTTGAAGGCCAGCCTGGACTACATAGTGAGACCCTGTCTCAAAAAACGAACAAAAACTCCTAAAGCAAAGACAAAAATAAATATGCACATGAAGGCTCAAGGATAATCTACATTCTTGAAATATTATTGACCCTATTTACCATTGCATAGCTGCCCAAAGGGGGCACCATCTTCATTCTGTCGGCTTGTTCTATGACTATTATCACAGGAGATTTCTCAAGGTCAAAATGAAGGTGACTATGTCTGAAAGTACCCATGCGAACTCCTCGCCAGGACCTGAGCAGCTTGGTCCCACAGAGCCAGGTATGGTGCCTGTGCTCCAACCCTGAGGAAGCCAGCTTGCTAAGGAACTATGGGGTCAAAGGAGCAGTCAAAAGTGGAGGTCATCAGGACACCCAGCAGGCCCTGCATCTTTTTCCTGGCAGGTTCCAGTGTGGTTACCACTGAGTTCGCCAGTATGCTGCCTTCACATCCACCTGCTCAGGGAAGCTGGCCCAGTGTCATCTCACCTGAGGACAATGTCTCTCCAGGGTGTCCAGGAAGATATATAGTCCCCTTCCCTGCATCCTCCCTAGAATGCCTGAGAAGAAATACTCAAGAGCAGAACTTAAAACTCTGCCCACTCACCAACGTCTTCCCAGATGTTTGTTGTGGCAACTGGTTCAGGAGGCCAGGAAGGGTGTCCTGGAGGTCTGCTTCCTGTCCCAAAGGTCTGCTTCCTGCCCTGGAGGGCTGCCTCCCAGGGATGCAAGGATGCAAGGATGCAAGGAGCCTTAAGGGTACTGTGAGCTATGGCAGGGGCAGCCGGTCCAGGAGTCACCTGTGTGGGCAGGGGGCAGGAGGAAAGGAAAGCCAAATCAGAGACAGACACACAAAAGGGGTGTGGGAGCAGCTGGGAGGGGCATATTGTGGCAATGCTAGCAAGGATTTGGCCCAATGGTGACAATAGGTGGCTTTTACTACCATGTGAGGGTTACAGATTTGTAGTCCTAGAAAAATAGTTAATGTGGAGAAGCAGAACGAGTGCTTTCTTCCTCCTCTGAGGACAGAAGCAGGGAGTCTTTGGGTGACAGGTGAGCCAGCAAGGTCTGGGGACAGGCCTAGCAGGAAAGAGGAGGAAGGGCCCGAGAGCCACCTTTTTGTAGGCAAGGGGCAGGGCAGGTAGGTGGCCAATGGGGCCTCCTAGGCAATGAGTGGCCTGCCCTTGGTGACATGGCCAGGGGAAGGAGGCTGTAGCGCAGGAGAGGACTGTCCTCAGAGATGCGTGACTCACCCCTCACTGCTCCCTGGGCTGAGACCATGTGCTCTGTTCCCAAGAAACCACACCCTGGCACTTGACAGGGTCCACCTGCTTCATTCAGCCCAGCCTCTTGAAGTCCCCCTCTCTGCCTTCAGAAATCTGTTTCCCTCTGGAGGCCCATCTCACTCTGTGGTAAGGAGTAAAGCCACCTTCTCAAAGTGCAAATAACTTCTTAGGCTTTGTGGGCCAACCTTCAGAAGTGGGGTAGCTTGTGAAGGCCACTTTGCAAACCCAAAGGCATTCAGCCCCCACCATGGCAGCTCAGCAGGGAGGTGTCCAGAGTGAAAGGGCTCATGGGATCTGATAATAAACCTCAGAGGTGATTGGAGCCCTCGGCTCAGGTGGTTTCCCTCTATACATCAAGCACACTGTGAAGAGGAAATGAGAATGACGGGGCTCTCGGTGGATGGGTGGATGGGATAGAACTGCCCTCCTCTTTCAGCCCCCTTGTTATGAGGTAGGAGGTAGAGCAAAGGCAAATAAACAGGAGGAAGCTGTGAGGTAACAATCAAGAAACTAGAGCAAAGATGATAATGTTAAAACATCAGGAAACCAACCAAAGGTCACCCTGTCCACTCCAAAGAGCCCCGGGCATGCAAAAAACAAAAGGCCCATGACCCTGGCCTGTGTCCAACCTCGTGTGTATTGTAGTTTTGATGCCTGGTGTGCTTAGGATACCACAACACTTCCTCCAAAAACCTCGTATGGTCAAAAATGCCTCCTCCTGACTAATGGGGGATGCTGAGTCAGGTGCCCTGTCAGGCCATGACTCTTGTCAATCCAAAGCTATGGATGCTCCCGTAATCTCTGGACCTCAAGAGACCCAGTGCCTGCCCCTCTTGGGGCATGAGCTCTTTTCACTGGGCCACTCCCATCTTGCCTCATTCACTTTTAATAACTCTTATTCTTGTCACTCCTTTTGAGTGTCCTGCTCAGTTCTTTGTTGAGGATACCAAGAACCTGGAGACAACTCCCCTCCATAAGAGTTAGATGCCCTTTTCTAGCTGGCAGAGAGCACCAACAGAAAGCTCATTCTAGGAGCACTAGCCCTGCCTGTCTGCACTCATGTCTCCCCGGAATCTGGTCACAGGGCCAAGTGGAACAGAACCAGGACATGTGTTTCTGTGCTTCTCTCAGGGCTAAGCCAGGCAGTCCCACATAGATGTCTCTTGACATTGAGGACAAAGTCAAGCTCAGGCTGCCTGCTGCCACTTTGCTCAATGACTCTCCGGTGAGGGCTTTCAGCTCTTGGCCTTGACTCTATACCCAGTATGAACACACCCGGCCCTGCAGCTTCACCAGCCACCCCTCCATGTTCTGCCAGCTAGAGATACCCCCTGGTTTGCTGCTCCTCTTGTCCTTAGACCCACAACCCTGCGCTATGACCACATGACATCACTGGGCCATTCCAGCCTTTTGTCCAGAATTAGACCTCTCCCGGCTATAATCATTTCATAACATTCCTGTACCCTGAATGTTTTGTACTTTTGCTTTTGAAAGGACTTGAAGTCACTCACAAAAAAAAAAACACAAAATAAATCTGTTGAGTATTTGAAAATTATAACTCTATAAAAGTAGACAATATACACAAAAGCTTTTCTAACCTGATTTTGCAATCCATCTACCCGACTTCCAAATAAAGGAAACAGGATGGGTCACATAATTCTCCTGATGAGATGAGGATGAAAAGTCACTTCCTCAGGAAACAGCCCATCAGCACTGATCTCCAGCACTGACCTCCACAGAGAGGACTGAACATCAGGACGGACAACTCCACCTGCTGGATTTTTGGAAGGAATCGTTCACTCTGTGGTCCAGTCTTAATAACAGCATTTGATAAAACATTCACAATAGAAAGAGGAAGACAATGGTATGGGCAGGAGTCTGTAGCTTCATGCCAATCTTGTGGTTCTCAGTAGAAAGCTATGCTGCCCTCACCAACCACGCAGGAAGGTGCAAGTGAGTGGGGTCAAGATGGCAGGGGACATTGGGATGTGTAATGGGATTGTAATAGCAAATGAAGACAGGAGGAAGGGGCTCAATGATCTGCATTAAACAGAATGCCACTATGAAAAGGTGTCTTTCCTAAAATGCTAATATAGCATCCCTGCAAACAAATAGAGAAGAGGAATCAGTAATCAGCACAACTCTCTAGTGCCTCCTTTTAAATTCTAATTAAGCCTTCACAAAGAGTGACAGCAGAGACCACAAGAATGTCTGCCGGGAGACCTAGATGAAGAGGAAGCCAGGTTTCTGATGTGTCAGCCCTGCTGGTGGTAGAGTACATCTTGTCTTCGGAGAAAGGAGCCTGGCAGGCATTGCTGGCTGGATGGAAAGCTGCATGATGCTGCACACAGACCCATGGAGAGAAACCTCTCATGACTTATATTTTTTCATAGATTAAGATGAGGCACAACTGGATAACTAAAACTGCATCAACACATCATGGGAGAAACTTTTAGCCCAGCGAGTGGTTCTCAAAGTGTGATCCCTGGTTAGCATCCCCTGGGAACTTGCCAGACATGCAGATTCTTAGGTCCACTCCAGACCTACAGCCTTGGAAACTCAGAGAGTAGGGCCTGCACCTTGTGTAATAACAAGCTCTCCAGGAGACTCTGATGCAGGCTGCAGTTTGAGAACCACTGGCCTAGAAAGTCTGGGGCTAAATATGGCAGTCAGTGTCAGGAGATAGAAATGCTGCTCTTCCCTCTGGCATTTCCATTAGGCTCTGAAAGGGAGAGAGAAGTTTCTCCATATCTGTTGCAGGTGAATAATCAGAAGTGTATGGCTTGAAGAGGTAAAACATATGAGATGAGAAATGGGTACACAGGATAAATTACCAGGGACCAAGCCAAGTCTCAAGTTTGATTAATTACCCTAGCAGGATTTTTTTTTTAAACTTTGAATAGACAATGCATTGACATGGCTCAAAAGTGAAAAGACCCAGAGGGTATACACATGTTCCTCTCCTAGCTAACTAGCACCAATGTCCCTTCCAGAGCCAGCATGTTATCAGTCTTCTAGAGATATGGTATAAAAAGACTTCTTGTATATACATATAAATGGTACTAGGAATTAGACCTAAGGCCTTTGGATTGAGCTACATCCCTAGCCCTTATTATTTGTTTCTTAGGCAGAGTCTCACTATATCATTAAGTTGCCCAGGCCAAGCTCAAACTTGCAATTCTCCTGCCTCAGCCTTTCAGAGTACTGGGATTACAGGAAGGTCCCATCATGCCTTGCTAAAAGATATTTTTAGCCTGAGTTTTTCTTAAATACAAAAGATAGTTACAGTTTGTATCTAGATGCTTCCCCAAAGCCTCATGGGCTTAGAGGTGGGGTTCTGGGGAGATGACTAGATCATGGATACATGATATTCATCAGTGGATTAGTCCACTGATGAGTTTATAGCTAAAGGTGATTTGAGAGGTAAAGCCTGATTGGAGGAGATGGGTCACTGAGGGCGTGGCCTGGAAGGATATATCCCTCCTCTCCCTCCTTTGATATCTCTCTCTGCTTCCTGCAACCATGCCAGGAACTGTTTCTCCTCTGCCATGCCACCCTGCCTTGAAACCAGACAACTATAGACCAGAATCTGTACAAACTGTGAGCCAAAATAAATCTTTCCTCCTTTAAATGGTGCATGTCAGGTGTTGTGTCTCAGCGATGAGAAAGTAACTAAAACAGTAGGGTATTACACACACTGTTCTACACCTTGCTTTTTTCACCGAATATATTTTGAAGGCTACTTTATACCACCTAGAAGAGTTCTGAGTGCTTAGAAACATGCAACTGCCTAGGGCATGGTATCATCTCTGCAGAGAAAGAGGATCTGCTAGCCTACATGATGCCTGTAGATTTCTTAGTGAACCTCCAGTAGGGAAGCCATCCTCAGATTTTCCACAGGCAGCTCTCAACAGGCCCTACTAGAATGCTGTTCCATAACAGAAGTGGTGACGTGGAAACTCTCAGCCAAGTAACTACAAGATAACACTCGTACCCAGTGACTCAGGCATTGTAGGACATAGAGTACAAGCAGCTTTATTTAACATGTAACATACTCAGCCAGAAGAATGGAATTTTGTCATCTGTAGAAAAATGGATGGATCCTGAAATCACCATGCTGAGTGAAAAAAAGACTCGGACACATATCACATGTTCTACTTAGTATGTAGAACTGGAAAAGATGACAAGAAAAAGGGAAAGGGATGACAAGGGAAAGGGAAGAAGGGGGAAGGCAGGTAACAGGGGCATGAAAATGATCAAAATACAGTATACTACACACAGTGAAACCTCCCAAAACATGTGAAGTTGGGAGGGCAAAGGAAGAATGGCTGGTACATGTAGATACCTACCAAATGAAACCCATTAGGGGCTGGGGATTTAGCTCAGCGGCACAGCGCCTGCCTGGCAAGTGCAAGGTCGTGAGTTCGATTCCCGGTACCGGAAAAAAACCAAAACCAAAACAAAACAGATGAAACCCATTAATCTGAATAACCAATATGCATTAATACAAAATC